CATCCTAGAGTAAAAACATTTTATTTGCTATTAATGGGTTATTTAACAAAAATAACTCATTTTAATGAATTTAAAAATACAATAGAAAATATTATAATTTTGTGCAACAGCGAAGGATACGGCAAAGGAAAAAATGGATTAAATAGCCCTGCTCAAGTAGCTTATGAATACTTAAAAGAAAGGATTCAAGATCCGAGTCTATCAAAATTAACGGAAAATTTAATTGAATCTAGAAAACAAATAGTTATTGACGACAACAATGATTTAATTACTGATAATAGCATTAATAACAGCAACATTGATATATGGATCAAAAATTTATTTGGCGACATTAATCAAAAGATTTCTACGACAGGCGATGATATTAATATTTACTTTGCTCCTTCTTTGACCGACCGAATAAAAAAATTAGTATTATATTTTCCACTATATACCGCGGTAATGCTCGATGCATTTAAGTGTTCGAAATTTAGTGGTAGCTCTGCAACCGTAGAAGGAGAATTTAATGATTTAAAAAATAGAATATTAAGGAATGATTGTAGGCCAATGAGAGTAGATAGATTTATAAGCCTACACCTGATGTCATTTTCCGGCAAAGCGAAACTAGCTGCAGCAGTTCGCGAAAATGATTTTAAAGAAAATGATAATGCAATAATAGAAAGTGATTCACAGTCCTTTGGAAATACTTGTTTGGAAAATTCAATAAAAACTGAAGAGGGCAAGAAATCTGAAATAGAAGCAGAAGAACATTCCCCTGAAAAAGAGAACGACTTATTATTTGAACATAATTGGAATAGCAAAAATATTCCCACAAAAATAAAACATCCGGTGGGAATTACAATTTTAAAAAATGGTAACCTTTGTACAGCAATAACAGAGCAAAAATTAACATACATCGTTCAAAACACTTGTGGATTTGATAGTTTAGTTTATATATTTGCAAGTGCAACTATGTTTGAATCATTTAATAACCTACTGCGAAAAGAATCAACAGAAATATTTTCTTTCATCAAACAATACCTACAAACAATACAGAAGGACCGACTAAAAAAATTTATAAAAAAAGGGCGGAATTATTGAGAACAATAGAATATTTTATTCGAAATGGAGCAACTTCTGATATAATAATTATAGATGCACTTTCTAATGTAAATACTTTATGTGAGCAGATATTTAGTGACAACCCGAGTTATAAAATTACAAATACATGTAACGAATGTGAATATACTAACAGTCAGTCGGGAATTATTTTACCTACATAAACCAAAGTAATAGAAGAACATGGTTATGCAAAATTAGACGAAGCCATTAAAGAATATTTCACAGAAATTTATAATAATAAACTTGTAAAATATGTCAAAAGAGTCTGCAAACAAACTTAGAATATGGATCACATTTATTTATTGAACACAGTAACAGTCAACAAAAATATAATTTAAATAGTTTCATCGATCATATTATTTTAAATGACAATGAATATAAATTAGCAGGAATAATCAATTTTTATGGTGGTACGTCAATTACGTCAGCAGAACATTATACAGCAATTATTAAATGTAACGAAAACTGGACAGAATTTAATGATTTGAACCGTAAGCCAAGGAAAATTAAAAGCAATGCTACAATAAATCCTCATTTAATAGTGTATATTAAAGTTTAAAAAACCTTTATTTTGTACAAGCATTAAAAAGAAACACAGGATTAAAAAATAGATTAAAACATTATATAGTGCCGCCAAAATAGAAGATCGCGATAAAAGGCAGCCGCCCCTCCCAGTCGAGCTCCTTAAGAAGTGCGTGGGACCCCTTCATGCGCCGGGGAAGAATCACCGTGGGGGTTTTAGTGGGTAAAAATCCCACATAACCCCGCGCCCTCCCTCAGGGATGCGGGGTATATTTCGAAGACTTCCCCGTAATGGCGAAACTTTTTTATTATTAATTTTAACGTTCTCATTATTAAGGATAATTTTTAGAACTCTATGGGGGGCCATTAGAACTATCAACAGAACGGCCGATTTCCAAAAAAAATTTCACCCGTTAAAAATTTATAATAGGGGTAGAAATTTTTTTTCGAAAATTAGCAGTTCTGATTAGAGTTCCGGTACCCCCCCGAAGAGTTCTAACTGTTTTCCCTAATAAACTCAATGCTACGATGCCAAATGAAAAAGTTCTGGCCGATGGAAGTTGCGGAATCGAAATTTTTCTAAGTCCTGCGAAGGTAAAAATTTTTTTTCGAGAAAGGCAATTCTGTTGACAGTTAGGACCACCGTGGGGGTTTTAGTGGGTAAAAATCCCACATAACCCCGCGCCCTCCCACAGGGATGCGGGGTATCTTTCGAAGATTTCCCCCACGTAAAAAAAAAAATATCGTCATCATCAGTGAAAAACGGGAAAAATTTGTTTATTTCCAAGAGTAAAGTGCCCTTAACAAATTTGTTCTGGCAAAAATCAAAGTTGTTCCAGGTTGTTCTATGCTCATTTGATATTGTTCTGCAGTTTGGTGCCGCTATCACGCCGTTATAGGTCATAAATGTCAAAAAAGGGGGAAAAATTTGTTTACTTCCAAGAGTAAAGTGCCCTTAAAAAATTTGTTCTGCCAAAAATGAAAATTGTTCCAGATTGTCAAGTTGTTCCAGGTTGTTCTATGCTGCAAAAATCAAAGTTGTTCCAGGTTGTTCTATGCTCATTTGATATTGTTCTGCAGTTTGGTGCCGCTATCACGCCGTTATAGGTCATAAATGTCAAAAAAGGGGGAAAAATTTGTTTACTTCCAAGAGTAAAGTGCCCTTAAAAAATTTGTTCTGCCAAAAATGAAAATTGTTCCAGATTGTCACGTTAATTATTAGATCAAATATGCAATTTGGTGTTTAGAAAATGATAATAATACCCGAAGATGTAAGAATACTCTTTGCGCGCTCGACATCGTTTTTCTATTATATCTTTGTAAATACTTTGTTTGGGAAATTATTACTTTGGAACAATATTTGGAACAAGTAGAACAATCTTGAACAACCATAAAAAATATGATTTTCGAAAAATGGGGTGCCAGACCAAAAAACTGTTTTTTTTTTTAATTTTTTATCAAAATAATTAATATAAAACTTTTATCTTCTGGAACAATTTAGAACAAGTCTAGAACAACCTAGAACAACTTTTAGAATTTAAAAATTTTCGAAATGGGGTGCTAACTTCATACAGGTCTCACAAATTCATTAGAGAAGGAAAGAAGTGTAAGTAGAGAGAGAAAATCGAGAAAGTGAGAAAAACCTAAGAAACCGTTGCGATATACGGAAAGTGACAGACTCAGTGGAAAAGTGTCATAAGAAAGAAAGTGAAGAGGTTCACAAGGGCCTAACAGCTGACATTAACCAAGCCCCAATGAAAATCTGCAAAAATAGTGAAAAGTTGGTGTTTGTAAATCTAGAGAAGATAGAAGACAGAGAAAAGGACTTTACAAAAGATATAGAAAGTAGAAAAAATAATAGCGTATGTGGTACAATGGATGCCACAAAATATTTCACTTTCTAGTCTTCAAATTGCACTGTTACAATTGAATGCAATCAAAATACAGATAATGTAATCGCTTATCTGTAGCAATTAATAAACATTTCAAATGACTATAATCTCAACTGTTTTTTCAAAGAGATTCTTAACATTCAAAAGGAGACGCATTGAGCGCTAATGTACAACTATTGAAATTTGCTATAAAACTTCTAGTCACATCAAGTCAGATCCAATTCTTGATGTACTATATTCACCAATCTTTATCGAATAGAATGACATTAATTATAACACGGGGACTCACAGGGAAGCATAACAAAATCGTTGATGAATTTTTAAAATCATAAGAAAAAATTGCTGAATTATTGATTATTTTTAAATATTAATTACATGCACAAATATACACGGCATCAAAATAAATACTATTTCAGATTATCGTATTATATACCTACGTAAAAATTCATCATAGCAAAATGCTTTGCATTATTTCCTTAAAATGTGTAAAAATTACTAATAACCAAACGATACTTCAGAGAGTGGTTATGAAAGAAACACATGCTACATAATTTCAATTTTCAAGAGAGCATACTATTTTACGTTTACATATATGAAAAAATGAATCTTAGAACATTGTTCCTCAGTCATTCAACTATTATAGTGCAATTGAAAAAGCAAAACAGGTCATAAAATCTCTCAACTTTTGATTAAGTTTAGTGCTTCCTGAGTGTACTAACAAATAAAATAAATGTACTACATTGCTCCTTATATATTTAAGAACCTCAAACAATAAAAAGTTTACGGTTTACGCAAAATTTTTGAAACATACTTTTGTCTGATTTTTTGGTCCAAATACCCTACTGTGCAGCAATCCCAAGATGCAGTGTAATCTACAAGATTCTACAGCTCAGGATAGATGAAAAATTTAAGTTCAATTTCAAGAAGACTTAGAAACTTCCTGCATTGAATCCATATAAGTTACGAAAAAGGTAAAGAATCCTTAATACTCATTTCACATATTTAAATGTACCTTGCATGGTATGAAATAAAATTTCACATTTTGCGACAACTTGAAAATTTTAAACTCACAAGGGAACATATCGAACCAGGATACACTGATTTCAATGAGACTTATGTGGAAGATAGTTCTCAAGAAAGTATTTGGCACATATTTTTTATATCGGTCATTGTTTACATTCAAGTGGTGATAATAGCCCTCAAAGTTAAAAGCTGAAATTATATTTTGGGAATATCTCCACAATTAAAAGGAATAATTGGAGGCTTTTTAGCTACAGAGTAGACTGAGTACTGAAGGTACATACAGTGAGAGCCTCTCCAAAGCACATAAATCAGTATGTACAGCAGCTACCAAAGTTCCACTCTTGCATTGTCATATACCTTAAAAACTAACGAACCACGCGACAGGTAAAAGATGACGTGTATTTAGATTAAAAGAATTGCGAGTAATACTTAATATATAATATTATATAATAAAGTACTTACAGAAACTGGAAGCAGAACAGTAATACACATAGTTCAGTACTATTAGCCATGGAAGAGGCATTCTTTACTGGCACATGACAGAATATGCATGTACACCAAATCCGATATACTATAACCTAGAGGCAATATTCGTTAATACAGTTTAATTGATAATGCACAACGAAACAATTAAATACACTTTAAATACATATAACGAACATAACTCACGCGGACATAACGTACAACTATGGAATTATATAGCGTGATTTGTATGTAAACAAATTAACTATATTTATTATGACACATTTTTCAAACACGCGGCTCAAAAGCATGGCCATCCCGATGCCAAGCGTAAAGCCCGCGACACGAATGGAAGTAAAAAGAGGGTTACCAACACGCGGTTTCGCCACGCGGCAATGGAGCCAACTCAAAATTTTGATAAATTTTTCATTGTATTTACATACCATTTCCTGTGTGGGAGCGTTTAGAGTAAATACACGAGGTTCTATAACTCAACAACTATTTATTCAGGTCTGGACATATAACTCGTACTGCGCGTATGGCTAATGGCGAACGAATGAAATGACGAACGGCGTCGTTCTCTCCCGCGCTCGACTGCTTCCTACACGCTACGCTAGGTAGCGTCGCTAGCGTGCTACCAACTCCCCTATAGGGAATTCGCGCTTGCACGCCACATCACCCCCCTTCCAGTTAATCTCGTATGGAGGTACATTTGATTTCAGGTACTGTTCGTCTTAATTTTAAACTCGCGTTAGCACACAAAATACGCTAACAGTCTTACTTTTACTTACATCGATGTACAAAATACCTTAACATATTATAATTTTACATATAAAATATAAATGATATAGGAACTATAATGATGACTAAGTAAATTACACCGCAGTTGCAATATATACTATAGTCGCATAAAAGAAAAATATTATTACTCCTTTTCATTCTAATTACACCGCGAAACGCACGCGTCTACTCTCTTTGGTTTTAACAGACTTTAATGCTTCGAGACAAACCTCAGTCTTATAAGCGGGCTTAACCCTATCTATTGCTACTTTAACGTTCCTGCCATTCACTTGAATGGTGAAATGCTTACTACTTCGCTCGATTACTCTGTGCGGACCTGAGTAAGGCGGCTGCAACGGTTTCCTTACACCATCCTGCCTTAGGAACACATGTGTTGCTTTTTCTAAGTCTTTGAAAACGAATATTTTACCTGGCCCGTGCCTCATCGGCTCGACTGGCCTCATTTTGCTGATCTTTTCCTTCAATTGATGCACGAACTGGGATGCCTCCGTCTCAGCACCCCGAACCAAAAATTCCCCGGGTAAACGGATTGTTTCGCCATACACCAACTCTGCAACCGACGCCTTCAGGTCATCTTTAAACGCTGCTCTGATTCCCAGCAGAACCAATGGCAGTGTCTCAGCCCACTGGTCATTCTCCCAACACTTAATCGCGGCTTTTAGCTGCCGGTGAAATCTCTCTACCATCCCGTTGGCTTCCGGGTGGTATGCCACGGTTTTAAGGTGCTGGGCTCCTAATAGGCGTGTCAACGCGCTGAATAGGTACGATTCAAATTGTCTTCCTCTATCCGTGGTAATGCGCAGTGGAATTCCAAACCTCGCAATCCATCCCTCGAAAAAAGCCTGCGCTACCGCCTCCGCTGTAATATCCGCCAGCGGAATCACCTCCGGCCATCGTGTAAATCTGTCCACGCAAGTCAGGCAGTATGTGTAACCCTTTGAACGTGGTAAAGGTCCCACCAAATCAATGTGGACATGCTCGAACCTCCTCGAAGGCGTTGGGAAACTTCCTACTTCCGGCTTGCAATGTCTTCCAACTTTCGCCTTTTGACATGCTATACACTGCTTCGCCCAGCTTTTCACATCCCTCTTGATATTGGGCCAAACGAACCTGTCCGTAATCAATTTTACCGTTGCCTTAGCCCCCGGATGACTCAAGTTGTGTATCGCCATGAAAGCCTGTCTTCTGTACTTCTCTGGAAGAAACGGCCTCGCTTTTCCGGTCGATATATCGCAATACACTTCTACTCCTGCGTCAGGCTTGAATGGTAAAATGCTTATTACTTCGCTCGATTACTCTGTGCGGACCTGAGTAAGGCGGCTGCAAC